AAACAGTTTCACATTTGGTTATTACACATGTACAATAAATTTGAAAATCTACAGAACCATAATGAATTTCAAATAATAAACTAACCTATATTTTGTATAAATAAACTATATTTTGTTTTCTCTTCTATAACAGGAATCCATGTGCATGGTTGTGGCTATACATACACATATAAACTATAAGGTTGCTGGATTTTTTTAAAAGTCGCTAGTGTAATAATTGCATCGATTAACTGTTGACTAAATAGGGGAACATGTAACAATTGTTAATGTACTATGCTAAGTTTCGGGCATATTTCAAAGTAATCATGGTGTAATTGCGTCGATTAACGACTTGTATAACAGCGAAATAGTGTGAACGTACCACACAGTCAGTTGTAAAAGTGGAAATACTGTTTACTATGCTAAGTTGCAAGGTTTTTTTTCTAAAAGAAACCCAGGTCGCAATGACAATGAATGTACTAGTAATATTCGTCGTGCCACAAGCGTGTTCATGCTCTCTGTTATAAGCTCACTTTCAATTATAAAACCTGTTTTGTTATTCAGATAAAATAACTTGGGTTTTCATTCGTACAGTCGATGGCCTCGTCGTCATAATTCAAAGTACCACCTGTTGCATATTATTGAATATTGATAATTCCCAGTTACATGTAATATTAACCATTTCTCTGACTGTAAAAAGAGAAAATAATAAATTATTGGTACTATATTAATTGTATTTAAAACTTATAAAAATACGGTAACGACGTCGTGATTTGCGAGTTTTATTAGATTGATAAACACCGGAGTTGGCTTTAGGTAAACGTAGTGTCCAAGTTCCCAACACCGGAGGGTGTGCAAAGGTTCCGTCAATGGTTGGACTTCGCATTTTCGTAAACAAATGCGCTGATTGAAATTATTCTGCCAGCGACACCACTGCGAAAGTATTTTATTCAAACACCAATGGTAAAACAAGTTAAAAATCTGTATATGACGACCGAAACTACACATAGAACGTCGGTACGTTTACTTCCGGGACGTGGCAATAGCCACATTGTCTCCGGCCACGCCCGTGGCAATAGCCATATTGTCTCCTGCCACGGGCGTGGCACGAGACACGGCCAATTAAATAACGGGGACTGTGACATTCATGTCTCGTTTATATTAAATCATTTTTTTTTAACATGAGCTCACAGACATGGATGATCATCAGGGTGTTAGCATGTACATGTATCCATTTATGACATGCTAAATATCAATGAAAATGATACATGGGTGACAGAGATATAGTAATATGGCCAAATATAAAAACAGCCGTTATTCAGCCATCTTTGATCTGACATGTATGATGTATGTGCCAAATACAAATGAAAATGGTACATAAATCTTGGAAATATAGTAGTAAGGCCAAAAAGTCAGATGGCTGTCAATCGACCATCCTTGATCCGATTTTGAAACAAATTGTCCTGGACATGTATCCTAACATGAAAAGAATGTGCGAAATTTGAATGAAAACTGACAAAGCATGTCCAAGATACCACATATAAAAAACAAAACAAGATGCCTGCCAGTCGGCCATCTTTGATTCAATTGCGAAAGAAATTGTCATGAACATGTATCCTAACATGTATAATCTATGTACCAAATTTCAATGAAAACTGACAAAACATGTAAAAAATACGACATTTTCAAAAAACAAGATGGCTACCAGTCGGCCATTTTGAATCGAATTGCTAAACCACTACATGTGCATATGTCCCACATAAAGTACTAGGCACATGCAAAGAATGAACGGAATCGGTCCAAAGGATTCTGAAATATGACTCTGGACGGACGGACTCATGGACAGTCGGAGGACATGTATCCTAACATGTATAATCTATGTACCAAATTTGAATGAAAACTGACAAAGCATGTCCAAAATACAACATTTTCAAAAAAAACAAGATGGCTGCCAGTCGGCCATTTTGAATCGAATCGCTAAACCACTGCATGTGCATATGTTCAACATAAAGTACTAGGCACATGCTAAGAATGAACGGAATCGGTCCAAAGGATTTTGAGATATGACTCTGGACGGACGCACGAACGCACGGAGACCGAATTATAAGTCCCCGTTTTCGGACTTCGTCCGAACGGGGACTAAATATTGTTGACCTGATTAGTTTTTGGTTAAAATCTGTGCATGTATTTCCCAAATTAGCATATTAATAACTGGTATCTAATTTTTCACTTTTCCACCAATAACTCAAGAACCACTCATCACAGAACATGTTCTGTAATAAGCCATGTATATGTTTAGTTTAGGGTTAAATTCTGCGCTTATTAATTACCTAATTTGCATAAATTTAAATCGGTGTTCCACAGATATCTTGAGGAGCACAGATGTTTCTGGATATCCAGAGATCAGATTTCAGGGTTGAAATCCACAACATTCGTCTCAAATACCACAAAAGATTGCCAACAGCAACCCTGGGACAGCAACATGGTCAGGGCCTTTTCATCACATACCTTGGAC